TCATGACCATCAACATAATCACCGGTCTGGTTTTTCTTGTGCTTTCATCGTCGCAAGACTGTCCGAAACCCGATGCCACCACCACCACCACCGCCACCACCACCACCACCACCGCCACCACCACCACCACCGCCACCACAACCACCAGTTTTCTTGTTTTGGAGTGCCCCACGCACCCACTCCTCCAGCAACTCATATCGCTCTTAAGCTCGATCGTTTGAGCTAAAGGACCTAACAGATTGGCAGGACGCATCGGCGTCGGAGCGCAATGGGAATGGTCTCAGGAATGGTGGCAACGATGAAGACACCGTGGCCGTATCTCAGCAGATTGCGACAGTTTCGGTGCTCATGTGCTCGCCACAGACATCTGGGACATGCTGCCGATTCCATGTTTGAGGCTGCTGAGACGCAGAGGATGGAAGACGTGGAAGGGCAGGAGCAGCCTGGTAATGCCTGAGGCTTAGCAGATCATGTGGAATTGTGTCAGACGTTTTAGATGCCGTGGTTGGTCTGCAACACAAGCTGCACGCCGCTTCCTGGTATTTTGCCAGATATGAGGATGATCCCAGTGCTGACGACGATACACAGGGAGCATGACCAGTATTGCGACCTGTGCGGATGATCTGTAGATACCTGTAGATGAGCGACACATTGTCTGTTGTAGTAGTGATGAGGACTCCGATGATAATGATGTTGATGATGCCGCCCCATGCCCAGGCCCCGCCTGGGTCCAGCAATCCTGGTGATGAGGACTTGATTTTGTGTGTATAGTTGGTTGTGCCAGTCTTTCCTCTTGGGGTTATCATCGCTGCAAGCACATATTGACGTTCACAGGCCACAGGCCCCCGAGGTTGATGGAGGCATCAATCCTGGCACGCCAGTTGACCTGGATAAGGACCTGATTTTGTGTGAAGTTTGGTTGCGCCTGTCTTTCCCTATCGGGATTATCGCACACACTGTCGTTCACAGGCCAGCCAGATTGAGAGAGTGGAAGAGAGGCGACCAAGGACCAGTGTCATAGTTTTTGTTGTGCCAGTTTGCAACGCCTCCCTGGAGCGGTGTCAGGATGTTCCAGTTCCTGCAGACGCGAAGGGGCTTGCGAGTCCTGCTGCTGCAGTGGGCCTAGCACATAGCCAAATGCTCTTTGCAAGTCCAAGCTCGTCAGCCTTGTGTTGAGGCTGCTGGCCCTGACCCTGGGCTTGAGCCCACCGCTTCCAGCGATGCATTCGGCTCAGTACAGATTGAAAGATGCAGCTGATGCCAGACGGCACCGGCATACCACTGCACTCGTGGGTTCGATTTCTGGGCTGAGGATGAGGGTGACAGTACAGATCCAGACTCAGATGACAAGCGGATCGAATCGAGAGCTCCGGCCAAGCCCCGCCTCTCCGAGGACATGATTGAACTTCTACGTTTCGGTGCTTCACGAATTCACACACAATCGTTCAACCGTTGAATAAATGAGCTTTGATGTGCGGAGCTTGAGTTGAGACCACGAGGAGCCACCGAAAGGCGCGGAGACTTGATCGCAATGTCCTAGTTGAAGGGTTTGGGAAGTCATGTTGTTATAGCGCACTCCTTGGACATTATATCACCGAACGCCAAGCCCAAAAGCCCCTAAAGTAGCAACTTTTTGAGGGTCGTGTATCGTTTGTGATTAATAATGCTTTGTATAGTGAACTTCAAGGTTTTCCGGGATTGGATCAAAACAATGTGAGGACGACGACGATGAAGCGGTTGCAAAAGACAGCCCCACGGTGGTCACGACGACTCCGTTTACGTTGGCGGCGGCGGCGAAGGCGAAGGCGAAGGCAAAAGTAAAGGCAAAAGCCAAAGCTAAAGCTAAGGCTAAGACCGCCACAGCACCCAAGGCCCGATCGCGGCGTCGCTAAGCGATGCGTCCGCGACAGTGCCGTTTTCTGTGCTTTTAGTGGCCAGTTCCCTATGGAATGTTTATAAGGGAGGGGTCCAAGTTCCAAGGCTGATGTACTACAACTTACGTTACGGTAGATAGTAATCCCATAATCCCCACTTCTCTTTACGAAGATTCCTTAAGAGTGTAATGATACCCTCGGCCTTTGACCCTCCCTTATAACTTCCAGAATCGACACAAGTACGGTGCAGCGGTTGAGGGTCAAAAGGGTTGCAGCCTCCAGCTTGGACCATGTTTTGCTTGGGAGAATTTTGGCATGTATCTTAAGCCTATCTTGAGCCTGCCTTAGCCAGATTTGCCGCCCTACGGGTGTTAATCGATGTTTCGCCAAAACTGGGGCCGAAATGCAAGTTATCTCCTATAACCTATTCCCCCCGCGCGCCCACGTGGAGGTTGAGAATTAGTACTCGTAACCATTCTGCTCAGGCTGCTCGTGGGTTCCGTGCTCTTCGGCCGACTGGGCACATCCCTCGCCATGGGCCGAGTTTCAGCTCAGGGATCAGCATCCTGTGGCCCAGTTGCCTTGGAATGGCCCTTTCGTGCTGCTCCTCATCATCTTACGGACTTAGCTTTCACCGCAATGTCGACGTTGCTATGGGCGGACTCGGTGGCAAAAGACAGCGAGCATGCGTTCTTCGAGAATTTTTCCCAGGACCCCCCGTCCTCAAACTGAGAGGCTCCTCTCTCGCTCTCGTGACACTAAAGCCGCTGACCTGGATCCCTGAATTGGCCTTGTCTGTATTACCGTTTAGCCCCCATGGCTGAACACACATCAGACACCCTGGTCACATCTGTTACCATTCCGCCGGCAAGTCTCTTGTGGGAGGCTTGTGACCCGCGGGGCGGCAGAACTGATGCCAGTGCTCGGCCACCTCATACTGGCCCCGTCAGCCTCTTACATTGTGCTGCCTTCTGGCACTGTACTTGGGTTGGGTTTAGGTTTGGCCCTCATCCCTCCCTTCCATACTCTGCATGCCCTAGGGGTTCTGACGGGCTTCGCATGCGACTCATACAGCCCGGCAGTTGCGCGTTTTGGACTTCCCTCACCTCAGGGACACTTCCCCCCCGGCCGGAATTTCCGCGCCAGCAACTGGTCGTCGGCAACCTCCTCCCTCGCTCGCTGCTGTCTGCAGTCGTTGCGCTCCTGCCCTCCCTGCTCCACGCAGTTGAGCCCTCCACACCTCGCCCCGGCGAAGTGCCACTGCAGCGTGAGTGACTTGTGTGGGCTCACTCTGCGGTTACGGCTCGGCCGCGGATTGCTGCCAGCACTCTTTAGTGCTTGTGAATGCCGGGCTAGCCCTCGCTGCTGTTCCGGCGAGAGGACCCAGTCGGTGTCAAATTTGCAATGCCCATGTCGGGACCCGTCTGCATCACCGACGAAGATTACATCAAGCACGGCCCGCCCTCCTGCATCGTAGGAACGAAGGGCGTCGAGGCTTGCAGGGCTTTATGGGTGCCGGAAACCCTAATCCCTGTTGCTTGAGTTGCGAGAGTCCAAGCTGTATAACCCGTTGCACACTTCAGACACTTCCATGCACCTCTCGAAAAGCCCGACCGTGGCGAGAGGGGTGAGGTGTTTGTCGGAGAGCATCGCAGGGCGTAAAACTGGGGAAGCAGAACGCGGTGTACACGTGCTTGCCAAGAGCAGCACGAAAGATAAATAGACATCAGGCCAAAGGCAACAGTATTGGTGAAGGGCAGTGCTGTGGTGAAGTACCGAGGCTGTTCCACCAAATTGCACTGGCAGTAGTACATAGTCACAGAGTGTATCAGCAGGAGAAGCCGCCATCGGCATCATCGCAGTCTTTTCCATCACCTTCTCCGTCTCCTTCTTCGGCATTGCTCTTGTCACTATCATCACCATCATGATCATCATGATCCGTCCTCCCCTCCTCCTCCTCCTCCTCCTCCTGCTCCTGCTCCTGCTCCTGCTCCTACACCACCTCCTCCTCTCCTCCTCTCCTCCTCCTCCGCCTCCTCCTCATCATCGTCATTGTCATCCCCATCGTCATCGCCATCGTCATCGTCTTCATCATCATCATCATCATCATCATCATCCTTGTCATCATCATCGTTGTCATCATCGTCATTGTCATCATCATCGTTGTTATCATCATCATCATCATCGGTCATCGTCAACGTCATCGTCAACGTCATCGTCACTGTCATCATCCTCATCATCAGCTTTATCTTCATCTTCATCTCATCTCATCTTCATCTTCATCTTCATCTTCATCTTCATCTTCATCTTCATCATCATCTTCATCATCATCATCGTCATCCACCGATTCCCATCCTGATCCTCATCCTCTTATCCTCGTCCTCGTCCTCATCCTCACATTCCGCCTGCTCGCGTTTGATTCTGATCTCGTTTGCTAGTGGTTTGTGGATAGCATGTTGCAGGTTTCTGTGTGAGGTCCTTTTGTTGTATCTGTTGCGGTACGGCTCGCATGTCTGAACTCTGAACTGTTTATGCATGTTCCCTCCTCCATGTATCGTGCTTCTCTCTGACGACCCGTTGTACTTACAGCAGGCTTGAACACCTTCCGGAGATGTCCAACTTCAAACCACCCACCGCACAACCACATTGTGCGAAGCAGGCCAACTTTGGGAACGACAGGGAACGACCATAGGAAACTCGGACCAGAATCGAAATTAGCTTGATTTGCGTGCAGTGGAGGTACACCGTATGCAGCGCGTTGTTGTTCTTCAGTTCTCACAGTCGTCGTTGTTGTCATTCGAAACATAATCACCAACATCATCTGTGCATTTCCACCATCGAAGCATTGCCAGTTTGCTTGATTGGATGTTGGGAGTTGCAACTGCAGCTATTCAAGGCCTTTGATCGAATGACTGTCAGGGAGCGAGCTTTCTAAAGTGCATGTCACATGTGCTGGGCTCGAGCTGCCGGGGCGATTTCTTGTTTGTGGTTCCCTGCACCTACTTTCACGCGAGGGCCTGAGAGAAGCTTGCTACAATGTAGAATCGGGGCGAGTGCACTTCAATCGCGAAGCTCCGTAGCCGTAGCCTCCCGGAACCTTGTTCTCATTTCAGCAAGATGCTGAGGATGGCCTCCAAGAAGGCGGGAGCGGCTGCCGTGGCTTGCGCCGGCCTTGCTGGGTGCCGTGCTTAGCTGCAAGAGGAGCGAGGCACCCAACTCGAAGGGCTGTAATTTCCCGGTTGTGGCAAGGCTGGGCTTCGTCGCCACACCAGGTTCCGGGGAGTTGTCATTCCCATGTAGACTTGTGTGCGGAATCCTTGCAGATTCGGGAAATCGACGCGTGCCGGCTGCTGATGCCGCCAAGGCCTCTGCCAAGGCTCGTCTGTGGGTTGCCAATTTCAGGTGAAGGAACATTTGGTGGTAGAAAGATGCGACATGATGTGAAGCTTCTGCGCGAGGTAGCAGCATCTCCGGAAGCAGGCGCGGAAGTTCCTTTTTCCAGTGTGAATTTGAGGCAAGAGTCAAGGAGTGACCAAGACTCTAGGACTGCCATTGCTCTGATTTCTTCATGCTGTCTGTTGGGTCACAAGGCAGCGCCTTCACTGTGGGCGCGGCGGCAGCCACCGCCGCGGGTGCCGTGGCGGCGTCCACCCGACGCAAGACCCGAGCGAGCAGAGCAGGGGCCCTGACAGGGCAGGCGGCGGCAGGTTTCAGGCCCACGCCGTCCAACCTTTCCGTTCTCAGGTCGCTGCCCGGGCCGAAGTGGGACCTGGCGAGAAGGTCGTGGGCATCGACCTGGGCACCACCAACTCCGCAGTGGCGGCCATGGAGGACGCTCAATCTGAAAGCTCGTGAGATCATGCATGAGCTGCAACTGCCAAGGGCAAAGGGCTCAGTCTTGCCTAGAGGCCGGCGCCCCCACCATCATCCCCAACGCGGAGGGCGCACGGACCACGCCCAGTGTTGTGGCCTATTCCAAGAGCGGTGAGCTGCTGGTGGGGCAGATCGCCAAGCGCCAGGTGCAGGGCCCACTTGTTTGTTGTGTGGGTCCACAGGTGTTGCTCTGAAGTTTCACATTGCTTGCATCGAATCGTCTGCGGAGCAGGCCGTTGTGAACCCAGAGAACACCTTCTACTCCGTGAAGCGCTTCGTCGGCCGCCAGCCCAACGAGGTGGGTGAAGAGCTGAAGGAGGTGTCCTACAAGGTGGATTTTGAAGGCCAGAAGGTGAAGATCGACTGCCCGGTCTTGAGCAAGAAGTTCGCGCCGGAGGAGGTCTCTGCGCAGGTGCTGCGCAAGCTCAGCGGCGATGCCGGCACTTACTTGAGTGCCACCGTCCAGAAGGCAGGCTGCCTTCGCACGACCGAGTAAGGACAGGGCCTGTGCACCTCGTTCGTGTGTCCGTTTCCTGGCTTCTTCGCAGGCCGTCGTGACCGTTCCCGCCTATTTCAACGATTCGCAGCGACAGGCACACGCAACGGGACGGAGTGATGATGGAGAGGGTTAGTGTCTTGAGATAGGTTGTGAAGGTCACGTGAGGGCAGGTTCAGGCAGGTTGAGGCTGCTGTTGACATGTCAATCACCACTAGTAGCATCAGTTGAGGCCACGAAGGATGCCGGGAAGATTGCTGGTCTGGACGTGCTGAGAATTGTGAACGAGCCCACTGCTGCCTCCTTGGCATACGGCTTGGAGAAGGCGAACAACGAGACGATTTTGGTCTTCGATCTCGGAGGAGGAACCTTCGACGTCTCCGTGCTGGAGGTCGGCGACGGAGTCTGCGAGGTGCTCGCCACCAACGGCGACACCCACCTGGGCGGCGACGACTTCGACAAGGTCATCGTGGACTGGCTGGCGGAAGACTTCCAGAAGACCGAGGCCGGGCAATGTAGTACTAAGTACGAAAAACTTTGGAGAGTTTGGTGCAGTGACAGTGGGACTCAGTGAGACCCAGACGGCCCAGGGCATCGACCTCCTCAAGGACAGGCAGGCACTGCAGCGCCTGACGGAGGCTGCAGAGAAGGCCAAGATCGAGCTCTCCGGTGTGCAGGAGGCGCGCCGATAAGCAGCACACAGCCTTCACGGCCATTCAGTTTCTCGGTGTATGTTCCCCGTGTGAGGCCAAGATTTCCCTGCCCTTCATCACGGCCGATGCCACCGGCCCCAAGCACATCGAGCAGAGCTTGTCCCGTGCCAAGTTCGAGCAGCTCGCCAGCAAGCTCATCGCTCGCTGCAGGACGCCAGTGAAGTCTCACACTATCGTCTCGCAAAGCTTAAGGCTGAAGCAGCCTTGAGATGTCGAAGGATGTGATAATACGTGATAACCATGCGATCCGTGCGTTGCGCAGCGGCTGCATGCAGGACTCCAGTGGAGAATGCCCTGAAGGATTCCAAGATGAGTGCCAGTGAGATCAACGAGATCGTGCTCGTGGGCGGCTCCACCCGAATCCCGTCCATCCAGTCCCTGGCCTCGGAGCTCGTCGGTGGCAAGAAGCCCAACCAGAGCGTGAACCCGGACGAGGTCGTGGCTGTGGGTGCGGCAGTTCAGGCTGGCGTCTTGGCAGGTGATGTGAAGGACATCGTCCTGCTGGATGTGACGCCCCTGTCCCTGGGTGTCGAGACTCTGGGTGGCGTGGCCACGGTGCTGATTCCTCGAAACACCACCATTCCCACCAAGAAAACCGAGGCCGGCTGTTCGCTGCAAACTTGAACGGGCGTTGCTCAAGTCTTGGTGCTGGGTTGGTGAGATGCTTGCCTTGCAGGTCTTCTCCACCGCCACGGACTCCCAGCCATCCGTGGAGATTGTTGTCCTGCAGGGCGAGCGGCAGTTCGCGAAGGACAACAAGATTCTGGGAACCTTCCGCCTGGATGGCGTGCCGCCGGCACCCCGAGGCGTGCCCCAGATCGAGGTGACCTTTGACATCGACGCCAACGGCATCCTGAACGTCGGCGCGAAGGACCGCGGCACTGGCAAGGAGCAGACCATCACCATCGCTGGATCCTCCACCCTGGACAAGACGGACGTCGACAAGATGGTGCAGGATGCAGAAGCCAACGCTGCGGAGGATAACAAGCGCAAGGACGCCGTGGAGACCAAGAACAATGCAGAGAGCCTGGTGTACCAGACCGAAAAGCAGCTGTCCGACCTGGGTGACAAGGTGCCTGCAGATCTGAAGGCCAGCATCGACCCCAAGCTGCAGGCCCTGAAGGACAAGGTCGCAGAGGCCGAGCCAGACACCGAGCTCCTGAAGACCATGACCAAGGACCTCCAGGAGGAGCTGATGAAGGTCGGCCAGGCGGCCTACGCCAACACCGGCGCTGCAGCGCCCGAGGGCGCTCCCGAGGGAGCGGCCGGCGATGCCGGGGCGCCCCCGCCCGGCGATGCCAAGGGCAAGGACGACGTCATCGACGTGGATGGCCAGTAGTGAGATTTTGATGACATTCCTCACTTTTGCAGCTGGGCTGCTTCATCTGCAAGTCCTATCTTCGCATACAGATAACAGCTAGCTCATAAAGGCTTTTTGTTTCGTCTGAGCTTAAGCGCTAAATCTTTATGCCGATTCGCACACAAGAACAGCAGAAGCACACCTCAGTTTGAATGGCGAGTGCTGCAGAGACAGGTTCTACTTACAGGCGAAACTCCTGTCTCTTCAAACTGATGTGTTGGGTGCAGTCGACGCGAATGCGTTGTGCAGTGCATAGTTCGAGCTAGGATAGTCGCCTCGTTTCTCAGCGCCTTTTCTCCGTGGCAGCTGTCAGGTTGCCACACTGTCCAAAGCAGACTTAGAGTTTCCTTTTCACATTGGATTCGCAGCCAAAGAAACCTATCTGGATCCCATCACCCGCCAAAGATGTGCGAACTGCATGTTCCGGTGCCTTCACCTCGACTCGAATGGCAGTTCACAGGCAGTAATTTCGCCGCTTCTGCTGCAGTTGCCGTGTTCGCCGTGGGCCCGAGCTGTGGCAACTTGCGAAAGGTCCGGTAGGTCTTAGGTGGTTCCCTGAGTGCAACGCGCCGGGGGCCTCAGAGCTCGCAGGTGCTGCCTAGGTAGACTTAAAGACATCCAGATCGTAGATCAAACGCGATCCGAAAGCACGATTCGGGACGAGGATGGTGGGATGTTGTATTGTATGTTCCAGCTAAACCATGCTTTCGAATCGCATTTGGACAACGTCTTAACCTGTACCTTGGATCGACCGTGCATGTGTCTGATCGTATCTGTATCCAATGTTATTTGCGTTGCGCTTGAGCCGTGAAGGGCCACGAGCACTAATCGAGAAGCGTAGAATGGCGCAAGCCATCGATGAAAGATGCTGAGGATGGCCTCCAAGAAGGCGGGAGCGGCTGCCGTGGCTTGCGCGGGCCTTGCCGGGTGCCGTGCTTAACTGCAAGAGGAGCGAGGCACCCAACTCGAAGGGCTGTAATTTCCCGGCTGTGGCAAGGCTGGGGTTCGTCGCCACACCAGGTTCCGGGCAGTTGTCATTCCCATGTAGACTTGTGCGCGGGATCCTTGCAGATTCGGGAAATCGACGCGTGCCGGCTGCTGATGCCGCCAAGGCCTCTACCAAGGCTCGTCTGTGGGTTGCCAATTTCAGGTGAAGGAACATTTGGTGGTAGACAGATGTGACATGATGTATAGCTTCTGCGCGAGGTAGCAGCATCTCCGGAAGCAGGCGCGGAAGTCCTTTTTTCCAGTGTGAATTTGAGACAAGAGTCAAGGAGTAACCAAGACTCTAGGACTGCCATTGCTCTGATTTCTTCATGCTGTCTGTTGGGTCACAAGGCAGCGCCTTCACTGTGGGCGCGGCGGCAGCCACCGCCGCGGGTGCCGTGGCGGCGTCCACCCGACGCAAGACCCGAGCGAGCAGAGCAGGGGCCCTGACAGGGCAGGCGGCGGCAGGTTTCAGGCCCACGCCGTCCAACCTTTCCGTTCTCAGGTCGGCGCCCGGGCCGAAGTGGGACCTGGCGAGAAGGTCGTGGGCATCGACCTGGGCACCACCAACTCCGCAGTGGCGGCCATGGAGGACGCTCAATCTGAAAGCTCGTGAGATCATGCATGAGCTGCAACTGCAAAGGGCAAAGGGCTCAGTCTTGCCTAGAGGCCGGCGCCCCCACCATCATCCCCAACGCGGAGGGCGCACGGACCACGCCCAGTGTTGTGGCCTATTCCAAGAGCGGTGAGCTGCTGGTGGGGCAGATCGCCAAGCGCCAGGTGCACGGCCCACTTGTTTGTTGTGTGGGTCCACAGGTGTTGCTCTGAAGTTTCACATTGCTTGCATCGAATCGTCTGCGGAGCAGGCCGTTGTGAACCCAGAGAACACCTTCTACTCCGTGAAGCGCTTCGTCGGCCGCCAGCCCAACGAGGTGGGTGAAGAGCTGAAGGAGGTGTCCTACAAGGTGGATTTTGAAGGCCAGAAGGTGAAGATCGACTGCCCGGTCTTGAGCAAGAAGTTCGCGCCGGAGGAGGTCTCTGCGCAGGTGCTGCGCAAGCTCAGCGGCGATGCCGGCACTTACTTGAGTGCCACCGTCCAGAAGGCAGGCTGCCTTCGCACGACCGAGTAAGGAAAGGGCCACCTCGTTCGTGTGTCCGTTTCCTGGCTTCTTCACAGGCCGTCGTGACCGTTCCCGCCTATTTCAACGATTCGCAGCGACAGGCACGCGATGGCACACGCAACGGGACGGAGTGATGATGGAGAGGGTTAGTGTCTTGAGATAGGTTATGAAAGTCACATGAGGGCAGGTTCATGCAGGTTGAGGTTGCTGTTGACATGTCAATCACCGCTAGCAGCATCAGTTGAGGCCACGAAGGATGCAGGGAAGATTGCTGGTCTGGACGTGCTGAGAATTGTGAACGAGCCCACTGCTGCCTCCTTGGCATATGGCTTGGAGAAGGCGAACAACGAGACGATTTTGGTCTTCGATCTCGGAGGAGGAACCTTCGACGTCTCTGTGCTGGAGGTCGGCGACGGAGTCTGCGAGGTGCTCGCCACCAACGGCGACACCCACCTGGGCGGCGACGACTTCGACAAGGTCATCGTGGACTGGCTGGCGGAAGACTTCCAGAAGACCGAGGCCGGGCAATGTAGTACTAAGTACGAAAAACTTTGGAGAGTTTGGTGCAGTGACAGTGGGACTCAGTGAGACCCAGACGGCCCAGGGCATCGAGCTCCTCAAGGACAGGCAGGCACTGCAGCGCCTGACGGAGGCTGCAGAGAAGGCCAAGATCGAGCTCTCCGGTGTGCAGGAGGCGCGCCGAGAAGCAGCACGCAGCCTTCACGGCCATTCAGTTTCTCGGTGTATGTTCCCTGTGTGAGGCCAAGATTTCCCTGCCCTTCATCACGGCCGATGCCACCGGCCCCAAGCACATCGAGCAGAGCTTGTCCCGTGCCAAGTTCGAGCAGCTCGCCAGCAAGCTCATCGCTCGCTGCAGGACGCCAGTGAAGTCTCACACTATCGTCTCGCAAAGCTTAAGGCTGAAGCAGCCTTGAGATGTCGAAGGATGTGATAATATGTGATAACCATGCGATCCGTGTGTTGCGCAGCGGCTGCATGCAGGACTCCAGTGGAGAATGCCCTGAAGGATTCCAAGATCAGTGCCAGTGAGATCAACGAGATCGTGCTCGTGGGCGGCTCCACCCGAATCCCGTCCATCCAGTCCCTGGCCTCGGAGCTCGTCGGTGGCAAGAAGCCCAACCAGAGCGTGAACCCGGACGAGGTCGTGGCTGTGGGTGCGGCAGTTCAGGCTGGCGTCTTGGCAGGTGATGTGAAGGACATCGTCCTGCTGGATGTGACGCCCCTGTCCCTGGGTGTCGAGACTCTGGGTGGCGTGGCCACGGTGCTGATTCCTCGAAACACCACCATTCCCACCAAGAAAACCGAGGCCGGCTGTTCGCTGCAAACTTGAGCAGCATGTCGTAGAAACCAATTGAACGGGCGTTGCTCAAGTCTTGGTGCTGGGTTGGTGAGATGCTTGCCTTGCAGGTCTTCTCCACAGCCACGGACTCCCAGCCATCCGTGGAGATTGTTGTGCTGCAGGGCGAGCGGCAGTTCGCGAAGGACAACAAGATTCTGGGAACCTTCCGCCTGGATGGCGTCCCGCCGGCACCCCGAGGCGTGCCACAGATCGAGGTGACCTTTGACATCGACGCCAACGGCATCCTGAACGTCGGCGCGAAGGACCGCGGCACTGGCAAGGAGCAGACCATCACCATCGCTGGATCCTCCACCCTGGACAAGACGGACGTCGACAAGATGGTGCAGGATGCAGAAGCCAACGCTGCGGAGGATAACAAGCGCAAGGACGCCGTGGAGACCAAGAACAACGCAGAGAGCCTGGTGTACCAGACCGAAAAGCAGCTGTCCGACCTGGGTGACAAGGTGCCTGCAGATTTGAAGGCCAGCATCGACCCCAAGCTGCAGGCCCTGAAGGACAAGGTCGCAGAGGCCGAGCCAGACACCGAGCTCCTGAAGACCATGACCAAGGACCTCCAGGAGGAGCTGATGAAGGTCGGCCAGGCGGCCTACGCCAACACGGGCGCTGCAGCGCCCGAGGGCGCTCCCGAGGGAGCGGCCGGCGATGCCGGGGCGCCCCCGCCCGGCGATGCCAAGGGCAAGGACGACGTCATCGACGTGGATGGCCAGTGATAGTCCAGTTTTGATTCCTGGTCGCCGGTTTCACCATGTTGAATGGTAATTGTGGGCCATGTCACGCCCACAGCTTTTGTCAGGAAAAGTTTCGATGGAGGGTGGCAGTGGCGACCTTCGGTTCAGTGCAGGAAATACTCCAAGAGCAAGTACCTACCACAACAACTTATATTTGAGCAAGAGATTTTTCCATCAGCCCACCAGCTTTCTAAAGATCTGCTTCGTCCTGCAGGCACAGGGGTTTTCTTGTCTGTTGCTCGCTGCCCGTTCCATCCCTGATCTGTTAAAAACAGATATTTTCTACGCCGGTATCATTGCCTGCAACAACACAAGACAGGCAGTGTGGAATGGCTTCGCAGCCGATACAGACCGTAGACTCGAATCAAGATCAGCAAAAGATCAGGCAGTTGCTTCAGCTGGGTGGGAGAGTCTGATCTACAGCACGAGCTCCTCACACCTTGTCGGCACGGGGTCCAAGCTGTCGGGGGCGACTTGTGATCGGCAATCTGCCATTCCCTGCACCTACTTTCGCGCGACGGCCTTAGAGAAGCTTGTTGTTTTGTAGCATCGAGGCGAATGCACTTCGATCGCGATGCTCCGTAGCCTCCCGGAACCTTGTTCTGATATAAGCAAGATGCTGAGGATGGCCTCCAAGAAGGCGGGAGCGGCTGCCGTGGCTTGCGCGGGCCTTGCCGGGTGCCGTGCTTAACTGCAAGAGGAGCGAGGCACCCAACTCGAAGGGCTGTAATTTCCCGGCTGTGGCAAGGCTGGGGTTCGTCGCCACACCAGGTTCCGGGCAGTTGTCATTCCCATGTAGACTTGTGCGCGGGATCCTTGCAGATTCGGGAAATCGACGCGTGCCGGCTGCTGATGCCGCCAAGGCCTCTGCCAAGGCTCGTCTGTGGGTTGCCAATTTCAGGTGAAGGAACATTTGGTGGTAGACAGATGTGACATGATGTATAGCTTCTGCGCGAGGTAGCAGCATCTCCGGAAGCAGGCGCGGAAGTCCTTTTTTCCAGTGTGAATTTGAGGCAAGAGTCAAGGGGTGACCAAGACTCTAGGACTGCCATTGCTCTGATTTCTTCATGTTGTCTGTTGGGTCACAAGGCAGCGCCTTCACTGTGGGCGCGGCGGCAGCCACCGCCGCGGGTGCCGTGGCGGCGTCCACCCGACGCAAGACCCGAGCGAGCAGAGCAGGGGCCCTGACAGGGCAGGCGGCGGCAGGTTTCAGGCCCACGACGTCCAACCTTTCCGTTCTCAGGTCGGCGCCCGGGCCGAAGTGGGACCCGGCGAGAAGGTCGTGGGCATCGACCTGGGCACCACCAACTCCGCAGTGGCGGCCATGGAGGACGCTCAATCTGAAAGCTCGTGAGATCATGCATGAGCTGCAACTGCAAAGGGCAAAGGGCTCAGTCTTGCCTAGAGGCCGGCGCCCCCACCATCATCCCCAACGCGGAGGGCGCACGGACCACGCCCAGTGTTGTGGCCTATTCCAAGAGCGGTGAGCTGCTGGTGGGGCAGATCGCCAAGCGCCAGGCGCACGGCCCACTTGTTTGTTGTGTGGGTCCACAGGTGTTGCTCTGAAGTTTCAAATTGCTTGCATCGAATCGTCTGCGGAGCAGGCCGTTGTGAACCCAGAGAACACCTTCTACTCCGTGAAGCGCTTCGTCGGCCGCCAGCCCAACGAGGTGGGTGAAGAGCTGAAGGAGGTGTCCTACAAGGTGGATTTTGAAGGCCAGAAGGTGAAGATCGACTGCCCGGTCTTGAGCAAGAAGTTCGCGCCGGAGGAGGTCTCTGCACAGGTGCTGCGCAAGCTCAGCGGCGATGCCGGCACTTACTTGAGTGCCACCGTCCAGAAGGCAGGCTGCCTTCGCACGACCGAGTAAGGAAAGGGCCACCTCGTTCGTGTGTCCGTTTCCTGGCTTCTTCACAGGCCGTCGTGACCGTTCCCGCCTATTTCAACGATTCGCAGCGACAGGCACGCGATGGCACACGCAACGGGACGGAGTGATGATGGAGAGGGTTAGTGTCTTGAGATAGGTTATGAAAGTCACATGAGGGCAGGTTCATGCAGGTTGAGGTTGCTGTTGACATGTCAATCACCGCTAGTAGTATCAGTTGAGGCCACGAAGGATGCCGGGAAGATTGCTGGTCTGGACGTGCTGAGAATTGTGAACGAGCCCACTGCTGCCTCCTTGGCATACGGCTTGGAGAAGGCGAACAACGAGACGATTTTGGTCTTCGATCTCGGAGGAGGAACCTTCGACGTCTCCGTGCTGGAGGTCGGCGACGGAGTCTGCGAGGTGCTCGCCACCAACGGCGACACCCACCTGGGCGGCGACGACTTCGACAAGGTCATCGTGGACTGGCTGGCGGAAGACTTCCAGAAGACCGAGGCGGGGCAATGTAGTACTAAGTACGAAAAACTTTGGAGAGTTTGGTGCAGTGACAGTGGGACTCAGTGAGACCCAGACGGCCCAGGGCATCGACCTCCTCAAGGACAGGCAGGCACTGCAGCGCCTGACGGAGGCTGCAGAGAAGGCCAAGATCGAGCTCTCCGGTGTGCAGGAGGCGCGCCGATAAGCAGCACACAGCCTTCACGGCCATTCAGTTTCTCGGTGTATGTTCCCTGTGTGAGGCCAAGATTTCCCTGCCCTTCATCACGGCCGATGCCACCGGCCCCAAGCACATCGAGCAGAGCTTGTCCCGTGCCAAGTTCGAGCAGCTCGCCAGCAAGCTCATCGCTCGCTGCAGGACGCCAGTGAAGTCTCACACTATCGTCTCGCAAAGCTTTAGGCTGAAGCAGCCTTGAGATGTCGAAGGATGTGATAATATGTGATAACCATGCGATCCGTGTGTTGCGCAGCGGCTGCATGCAGGACTCCAGTGGAGAATGCCCTGAAGGATTCCAAGATCAGTGCCAGTGAGATCAACGAGATCGTGCTCGTGGGCGGCTCCACCCGAATCCCGTCCATCCAGTCCCTGGCCTCGGAGCTCGTCGGTGGCAAGAAGCCCAACCAGAGCGTGAACCCGGACGAGGTCGTGGCTGTGGGTGCGGCAGTTCAGGCTGGCGTCTTGGCAGGTGATGTGAAGGACATCGTCCTGCTGGATGTGACGCCCCTGTCCCTGGGTGTCGAGACTCTGGGTGGCGTGGCCACGGTGCTGATTCCTCGAAACACCACCATTCCCACCAAGAAAACCGAGGCCGGCTGTTCGCTGCAAACTTGAACGGGCGTTCTCAAGTCTTGGTGCTGGGTTGGTGAGATGCTTGCCTTGCAGGTCTTCTCCACCGCCACGGACTCCCAGCCATCCGTGGAGATTGTTGTCCTGCAGGGCGAGCGGCAGTTCGCGAAGGACAACAAGATTCTGGGAACCTTCCGCCTGGATGGCGTGCCGCCGGCACCCCGAGGCGTGCCCCAGATCGAGGTGACCTTTGACATCGACGCCAACGGCATCCTGAACGTCGGCGCGAAGGACCGCGGCACTGGCAAGGAGCAGACCATCACCATCGCTGGATCCTCCACCCTGGACAAGACGGACGTCGACAAGATGGTGCAGGATGCAGAAGCCAACGCTGCGGAGGATAACAAGCGCAAGGACGCCGTGGAGACCAAGAACAACGCAGAGAGCCTGGTGTACCAGACCGAAAAGCAGCTGTCCGACCTGGGTGACAAGGTGCCTGCAGATCTGAAGGCCAGCATCGACCCCAAGCTGCAGGCCCTGAAGGACAAGGTCGCAGAGGCCGAGCCAGACACCGAGCTCCTGAAGACCATGACCAAGGACCTCCAGGAGGAGCTGATGAAGGTCGGCCAGGCGGCCTACGCCAACACCGGCGCTGCAGCGCCCGAGGGCGCTCCCGAGGGAGCGGCCGGCGATGCCGGGGCGCCCCCGCCCGGCGATGCCAAGGGCAAGGACGACGTCATCGACGTGGATGGCCAGTGATAGTCCAGTTTTGATTCCTGGTCACCGGTTTCACAGTGCTCAAAGAGCACTTGGAAATGCTTTGCTTTGTAGGCATATCTTGCAGGTTTTGACTCCAGGCTTCTCGTTGCGGGATGTCGGTCCAGTCATGTGCCGATGCTTTTGCTCCGGAGCGAAGAGGTTTTATCTGCAGTATTTCAGGTTTTCGCCGATGTGGCCTTGTGCCCGACGGCCCACACCTGTTTGAGACAGACCCGGGGTTTCCCAAGAGTCGAGTCACGGTGTTAATGATGGATGAGACTTCTCACTGACCTTGTCTTGGCCCTACAAGTACTCCGCCTGTAACATCTTCGTGCAGATCCGTGAATTGGGAAGCCGCCGATTATGTTCCGAATTGCTCCCCGGTAAGGGTCCTCGACCATGAAAGGGGAAGGCTGCATGGCCGATACAGACTCAGAGAAACTGCGTCATAGGGAAAGGGTTGGAGACGGGCTCTTGCGCACAGTGCGTGTAGACGTATCGCGAAGCACGGGGCATCGGCTGTGTTTGCTGCAGTGCTGCAGTGACCTCTGCGGCGGTTTACCAGCAACTGTAGGAGCGGAGGGCAATTTTGCACTTTTCGCTTTCCGGCTCTTAGATCTGACACCGCGTGCATCTCAGCTGATCAAGCCAGAGAGAGAGAGAGAGAGAGAGAGAGAGATCCACACCCAGCAGTACAGTGCAACACTCAGGAGTACCCCAAAAGCCGATCACTCCATAAACCAGGGGCTTAGGCCTGTGGGTCGCACCGCGACCCTTATGCCCGGCAGAAAGAAAGAGAGAGAGAGAGAGAGAGCGATAGAGAGGGAGAGACAGAGAGCAAGCAAAGAGAGAGAGAGAGAGAGAGCACTCGTCTCCAGCCTACAGTGGGTAGAGTCAAGACGACCGCCACAAACAGTCCACCTCGGTTGTCATGTTGTGCTAGCATGATGACATTGTGTGCGAGTGAGTTTGTTGCAACCGGCAGGGGGGACCCACCTTTTCTGCATTCGTACAGCCGAGCCCTCCTCGGACAAATCCCAGGGAGGGGCTATTCCCGTCAAGAGCTGCAGGTGTGCGGATCGCACAGGGTAGGGGCCTGGATGCTGCCCCTGCCTCCCACCCGGAAGAGAGAGAGAGAGAGAGAGAGATAGCAAAGAGAGAGAGAGAGAGAGACAGAGGGACGCTGCCGCGACCCCCAAGCCCGGAAGAGAGAGAGACAGAAAGAGAGAGAGCGAGCATTGCAGGTGCGAGTGCAAGGGGGATGCATTGATCTGCGCCCTTCAGCATGCCTGGGAGGGCGACAGCGAGAGAGAGAGAGAGAGAGAGAGCGCAATGTCTGCCCTCTCCCCTGCCACCTGCCCTGCGCCTGCCCCTGCCTGGTCCCTCGTGAACCCCGGGGCCAAAAAGGTCGCAACCTCAGGCTCGGAGTTGAGTGGCCACTTCCGGGGCCGGCCGGTGAGTGAGCCCCTTTCATTCCGACTGAAGCAGTGATCACGAAATTCCCAGTGTGCGACTACACACGGGGGACCCATGCACATCGACTCCCCTGGCTGTGCTGAAGAAGAGAGCGAGAGCGAGAAAAAGAGAGAGAGAGAGAGAGGGCTAGTATGGGGGGCGCTGAGGCGCGGGGGGAAGGTCGTATACTACATCTCCCTCTACCCTTGCGAAAGAAAGAGAGGGCTGAGGCTGGGGGCTTCATTTTTTGTAGTTTTGCGGAACAACCGGATCGGTCAAGCTTCCTTTATGCTGGGATGTGAGGAACCTGATGCGCACAGACAGTCGGTCCCATGTCGCCACCGACGTGGGACTGGACACTGTGTGGTCGCATGATTTCGGGGGACTTGATAAATTTGCTTCCATCTTACAACCCCTGAGATGTGTACCCTAGCGTGGGACGTTGCTTGCTCATGTGTATGCTTTTGCGACTCTCAGCCCTGCGACGCTTGGTGGGAGAAGAGGAGAGCAAGATAAACCCAAAAATCCCCCAAACCCTGAACCCCAAACCCTAAGCTGCAATCTCTCTGAGGCCATGGCTTCCAAGGTAAAGACGGGCACCGCCTCCGCGGCTTTGGCATGCGCCGGCCTGGCCGGGCCAGGTCCTCAATGATCGAAGGGTGGGGAAACGTAGAAGAAGTGAGCCCGTAACGTGATTGTATATTAAACCATCATACATTTATGCAACTTGTACAGTTATATTATACTATAGTTGACTTTACTCTACTACACTGTACTTTGCTATACTGTACTTGCATACATATACATATACCTATACGTATACAGCCTATACGTATACCTATACCCATACCCATTCCCATACCCATTCCCATACCCATTCCCATACCCGTACCCATACTCATGCCTATACCTATACCTGTACCCACACCTATACCCATACCTATACCTCTGCCTGTACTTATACCTATATGTCTGTACACATAACGTACGCGTGCACGTGCACGTACACGTGCACATACACGTGCACCTAAACGTGCACATACACACATACATACATACCTACCTGTACATACTTACGTACATACATACACGGAATGTCAAGTGAGGTTTCTTTATGCGATGAACCACCTGATGCCCAGGTCTTAATCGACCACACACCAGAAACTTTGGACATGTGGCTTCATGGACAGCAACTGCAAAGAGGAAGTGCGGGAAGTCTGTAGCTGACACCTCAACCTGCCTGGCTAAACCACAACGCCAGCCTGAACCCCAACGCACCGAAGGACACGACAGGGACCAACGCTTGCAAACCCTCGCACTGAAGAATGGCTTCACTTGCACTGACAAGGTTCTGTGCGGGGTTCTCGGCTTAGCCCCAGGCCATCCGGACAAAAATATGTATCAATACAGTGAAGAACCATGTACAGCGAAGACCAGGATGTCACAAGCCATTGTGCAGGTACGTGAAGAAGGCGTCCCTTCTTCATATCATAGCAATTCTGGACGGTCTTTGTTAGGCAGCGCAATCCAGAAATGCTCGCTGCCCCCCTGCGTATAATTTTGTCCAAAAGCACTACAGCGTGAGAGCAGCAATGGTGATAACACATGCAAAGCTGCAGAACGTGAGGTGAAGGCCCTTGGATACAGGGTTGACACACACACACACACGAACACCCAGGCTTCGCTGGTACCATGTTCATTCGTGGTCAATTCTCACTCATCAATGAGTTCAATGACTCCGATGAGAAACTTCAAAGGAAAACGTTGTCGGTGGGGCTTCAAGAGTCTCTGGTTGCCTTGCTGCGATTTAATATCGAAAGAAGCCAAGATGCACCTGCAACCTTCCACCTGGGTCTGGTTCTCAATCGCTGCAAAACAGATTGGAAGCATTGCACAGCGAAGATCAATATGATGGCACCATGCACAGCGTACACTGTCATACGTCACAAGCTATGAGCAGGTACAGGTTCGTGCGTCCACGAACCCATCACGAGAAGCAAGAGCGGTCTTCGTTGGTGCCAGCACTCTTGTTCTCCTGGCACCCCCTGCACGATCACTTCTCTTCGTCTCAACATCGCTATTCTCAACGTCACTGTCCCGTGGTAGTTTGGGTTCCCCACACACACTGACCTCCATTGGAGGGGCTGCGGACTCTTCCTTTTCATCGCTGCTGCCGTGCTTCTTGGTCTGAAATTGTGCGCATGAAGAGCACAGGCTTCAATGTTGCCATGGATGTGACTGGATCCCAGTCATGTAGTCGTCGGCGATTTTGCTCGAAAAAGAATGCTGCAATCTCTGGCACTCTGCCGGTGATCTCTTTGATGCGGTATGAGAAGATTTTCCGCGCTTGCAGCATGGTATCTCCAAGGCATAGTACCACGTGTAGAAACATATGTCTTTCCCTGGAGATTCGGTCAGGTGGGATTTCCACTGTCATCCGAAAGCATTGACTCCGCGTGGAGTACCATGGAAGTCCAGCTTCTCCCGCTTTTCGCTTCGGCATGGCTGGTTTTACTACTATGAAATTCACTTAAAAGGAACCAAAACAGCAGCAAAAGAACGCTCATATGCAGGCCGGTAAGTAGTGAGCAACTGAAACCTTGAGTGTTGCTCGATCTTCTTTTTGATGGTCACTGATTTGCCACACGTCTTAGTCGGTGTCATGAATCCAGCAGAGATGCCGTCCCTGTCGCTGGTGATGTTCTTCAGAGCTCTGCAATAGCGATGTATGGGAGCAGTACATGATGGCAAGCTCGGGGTTGCTGCGATGTTCAACCTCACATTGTTGACAGTTGCATGTGCAGTTGACGCCCCCGAACATGTAGCGTGACTCGTGCGCGATTTTTCGGATGATATACTCCGCGAGTTCTAGTAGCTGCACCATGCTGAATGCTGAGCTGATTGACGATGCTGTACAGGGTGTCGAGCTGTGAGGGTCCTGCTTGACGTGGTCCTTCCTCTTGGCGCTCCCCATCCCATGTGCGTCTTCCCCGGCGCATTGCTACGAGGTTACGGTTGCTGGGTCAGGAAAAAGAAGCTCTATGCTTGAGACGAGTGGCTTACTAGGTACGTATAACCGACAAGTCAAATCAAAACTGCTGAGGTGAAGTCGTAATGCTCGATCTTTTTCGGCTCGCTCTCTCTGGTTGTGTGTGTCTGCTTCCTTAGTCCGCGTGGTACCAGCAAAGATGCCGTCCATGCCAAATGTGATTTTCTTCCGAACTTTGTGAGTGCGACGTGTGGGCACATGTTTGGACGACGTAGTTGGGGTCGCAGTAGTTGGCAGCTTCACACTGTTGGCATGGAATGCAGCACCTGACTCCACCGAACATGAATCGGGTTGCGTTTCGCAATCTGCGCGCCACGTACTCCGCCAACTCCAGGAGTTGTGAAATGCTGAGCTGGTTGACCACCTGGTACATGTCGTTGAGCTGGGCTGTCGGCACATCTGTGCGGTGCTCGGCTCCGTCTGAGTACCACGCGTTGCGGTCACGAAGCATTGATGCTGTCACTGGTTGGATCGCAAGGACTGGAGGACTTTACAAGCTTGAGACACGGCCACCCGAAATACCTAAGGTACGAACCTGAAATCGCAAAGCGTTGAGGAGACTGCTCTGTTTTCCGTAGTCTCGTCCTGCTTCTGGCACTGAATTTTGTCCACAGCGTTGTGCTGATTCTAATTATGCGAGGTTAAAGCCGAGCATGCGAAGGTATCTTTTGTCTTCTCGACAAATGTCCTCGGTGCGGTTGGTGGTGTAGGCCGAGATGATCAGGCGGTCGGATTTCCATGGACATGTGCCGTGAAGCTTGAATGGACTAAACTCGATTCCGGGTAGTTTGATCTCAAGGTTGCGGCCACGATGTTGTCCGTTTGGAGATAGATCGGGTCCGTCGTCTTCTTCAATCCATAGGTGTCCTTGTCTGAAGGTAGAGACCGGAATCACGATGTTGAGGCTTCCTGGTTTGTTGTACTTGTCTCGATGTGTGCGCATATGTACATTGCGAAGTAGGGAAACAGTCGAGAATGGAGTATGGGTGCAAGCTCGTACCAGGTATGCTAGTATCGCTGCCGTCCAAGGTCTTTGTCTCGTGTTGGTGCGCACGCCAATGCTGCCCGCGTGGTAGTAGGTGCCGACTGTGTATGCCGTTGCTCTTCTGCCTGCTTTCGTGAGTGCCGAAGCTCGAAGGAACTCGGAGTTGAGCTGGGTGGAGAGCCAATGGGAAGAGCTCGAAGGGAATATATCTTTGTTGGAGGAGCAGTTCACATTCTTGCTCTACTGGATCATCTTTTGCTGCTAAGACTGCGGGGGCACTCATGTCTAGCGGTAGTCCATGTGGTAGTCTAACTGCGTATTCCGCGGTCTCGGAGTCGGTGTCGATCTCGGTGAGCTCTGCGGCGTTTGCAGTGCCATTGATGCGCTGCTTTTTAGTCATATTAACTCTGCATCCTACCAATGCCCTCTTGAACCAAAATACTGAAGAAACTGAAGAAAAGTGGCTGAGTCATCACAATTGCTAAGACCTTGCATGTGTCGGGACTCTGCTGAGTTTTCGAGAAGGCGCGCAAATCCCAAGTCGCCGTAGAGGTCGTCCAGCTCTTGTAGTTGTCTCTTGGCTACATCTTCAGGGTAGGCAATGGTGCGGATGAGGTGTTTTCTGCTGTGGTGCCCGCTGAGGCGTAGCTTTGTGGAGCCGGCTGACTGGGGAAGTCGACATCTCCAAGCTTCTCGGTGGAGATTGTAGGTAATTTGGCGATTATCTGCGTGAATGCGAAATCCCAGAAAATCATCACACGCTTCATCTTCCAGTTGTACTGGCTTCTTGTAGAAGTGTAGGGATGCAAGCTGCTGGATGTAGGGGTTGTGCTGAAGCTCATCTTCATCGACTATGATGGCTCTGTTGTCGACGTACCTGCGAATCCAGAACTTGTCGTGGAGATGGGCGTTGCTGACGAACTGGCCATACATTCTTAGCCATGTGATTTCTGTGGCCACTATTGCACATGTCGAGAGGATGGGACTGATTTGGTTTCCCATGGAGGTGCCACAAGTCTGCTGAAAGACCTCCCCAATGGCTGTGAAAGCGCAAGCATCGAAGCTGAACTGGATGATGGCGGGTATGTGTTCTGCCTGCACCTTGACCATGTTGGACTTCAGGCTGTGCGTTGATCTGCCGGAATGTGCGGGTGCGATCTTGCTGTGAGGATCGACGCTGATGGTGGAGTTGTGCTCGTCAAGGAACTGGGAGGTGAGGAAGTGGATGCTTTGTAGGATATCGGATTGTGGTATCGAATTAAAGAAGCCGACCAAATCGTGGTTGAGAAATTTCAAGTGTCGCTCCGGGTACAGGTGCTCGTTGTTGTGGAAGAGTTGGTGTTGGGCCAGGTTATCCTCAACATCTGTTGTAGTGCTAGGGCCGCGATCTTCAGCAATTTGCCGATGCACGTATTGCTATACGCGATAATAGTCCTCCCTTTGGCCCATCGCTTTTTCCGTTTCATGAGTATATACCCATACGGTAGGGGCTTTTCGTAGGCGAGGAGCTTGGCATAGTGCTTGGCGACCACCTTGGGGGTATTGTTCTGCATGTTCTGCTTGATCTCGTCAGGGTCGGCGTCTAACATTCGGAATGTTTGTTTGTCCATCCAAGTATTGTAGGCTGCTTGGTTGTAGATGTTCGGGCAGTAGATCATGAGGTGCGCGTTGGCATGGTCCTCGTTGTGCACGATGTAGTCGTCAGGGATCATGGCCAAGATGTTTTTTGCCAGTCTGTGCGTGAGTCGTGGCTCTCGCTGAAGCTGTAGTTTATGATGCTTCCACTCTTGTTCGAAGAAAGCGTCAAAGTCGTCAAGTATGCGTTGATCTCGAGGAAATTGGTGGTGCTTGAGCCATCGTTGGAATTGTTCTTGATGTTGTCTCTTGATGCGCTGCTTGGAGGAGTAGAAGGCATTCCCGGCCCCAACGTTGCGGAAGGTCTGGTGTGTGTGGGGTAGCTGCAGGGTTTCCAAGCCAGTGACTACGTGTCCTTCATGTACTTGTGCTCGCGGATGTTGCTTGATGAATTTGGCGCACTGACACTCTGTAGCCTTCCAGTGTCTGCCCATATCGGTGACTTTCCGCTTGTGGTTCCAAAGAACTTGCTGTAGAGAGGGATGCGTTGCCTCCTGGACTGTCTTGGTGGGTAGATGGTATGGTATAAGTACATGTCGGTGAGTACTGCTGAGTCGCACCAGGTACTTTTCCATGTTGGTGCGATGCGACGCATGTGCAAGGAGAGGAACTTTTAGGGGCTTGTTGTGCTTTGGGATCGACGCGTTCTTGAACTGCAGGACTTTGCGTAGTCTGGCTCGGGCTTTTGATCTCCACGGCTGCTCCATGTGGTTGGCGAGTCTGTAGAGCAGGGTAGCTGTTTCCGCGTCGTGCTTGCCGCTGCGCAGCTCCTTGGAGGCCTCAAATTCTTGCTTGGTGTCGCTGGATATGGAATACAAGAGCTTCCAGAATTGGGCCTGCTTAGGTAGAGCATTGACAAGCGAAGGTCTCTGTCCTTGTACTCTTCGTCGGAGTTTTTTGAAAAGCTGTCGTCCCAGAGAATCTGGTGGGTGGCGAAGATGTGGTTGTTGGTGTTTGGGGACCAAGCCATGCGCCTTCTTGACCAGCTCCTTCGTGACATACGGGTAGTTCAGCTTGGGCTGCCATCTCTGAATCAGGCTGTGTTCTTCGGCCCAGGCGTCAATGTACTCCGAGTGTTGCGAAAGAAGAATGGTGCTGTAGTGCTGGTAGGTCTGGGAGTCGTTCCAATATCGAATGGCAATCTCGGTTTTGGGTAGTTTGAGTTGTTGTAGTTGACGAAGTTTTGCGACTCTGTTGTATTCTCTCTTGGCCACAGTGATGTTGGTGGATCCGATGTAACAAAAGGATGCATCTCGGGTAGCAGCCGCATAGGCTTGCTTGTTGAGCCTTGGAAATAAAAGCTTGACGTACACTGCACAGGGCTGGGAGAATTTCTCGAACGTGTAGAGCTCTGGAACCGCGCCTTTTTCTCGAAGTCGCTCTTTTAGTTGCTCTGCTGCAGGCGATTGCCGCATTCTGTGGAAGGTGAATACTAGATGAATAAGTCCAACTAACCACATCAAAACTTCTTTATTAATAGCAGGAACATGAAAAAGCAAAAACTGCCCCCAATCCACTATCTGCTGTAGCTGCTGGAAGATATTGGCACTTTCTTGATGTGCTATGGGTCCTCTCAGGATTTTCTGCACGTGTCACACGGCGAGGTAGGTGACGGCCGCGATCAGCTGCTGAAGGTTCTTGGGCGAAGCCTTTGGCGCTGTAGTGAGAGAAATGGGGAGTCCCCATCGTGTCGCCATCTCCTGTAGCTCTGCCTTGGTGTACTTAGCGCCTTCGAGGATGGTCTGCACGGACTGTATGTGACTGTCCACTTCCGCATGCTTTTCTCGGGGAGGTTCTTCTTGAGATTGGTGACCCAGGTTGCAATCGAGGTCATACTTGTCGGTGGCTCTTGTCCACTGGTACGGATTACGTTGTGGGGCTCGGCGAGGATGTCCTCGTTGCGCTGCTTGATAGCTCCCTTTGTAAGGCGTCTTCGCTTTGGTGGTGCCGCTGTTGTTTCTGGGCCATCTGTTGGCTCATTCTGCAGCGGCAGGGACTTCTGGGGGGTGACCTCGATGCCGGCGCTGCGCAGGCGTTGTTTGTACTTTGCGGTCTGCTCCTCCAGGGCCTGCATGCGCTGAGCTGCTTGGTTGTCGCCGTCGGTGTTCTTGGTGGCATAGTTGCGTACCTGTGCCCAAGGCTTGATGGCGTCAAGGATGGTGTCGACGAAGGGTGTGACAAAGGTAATGGCCTCTTT